ATCAGTGCGAACCGTACCATCTCTCGCATCCTTTCGGTACCATCGAGTTCGCTCCACCCTGAATCATTTTGCCTTTGGATGGCTTCAACCGCCGTACACGCTGAAAGAAGGGCTAGAAGATGATCCCCAGCGTCTCCGACCGGGTATTTGGTGCTCCTATTTCTTCTGTTGAAATATGGACCGTGCTCTAGTAAGTGGTGTAGCGCTTGTCCATTCAGCGACAACGTCCTACTGTCAAAACGAAACGGCGTTACCTGGTGTGTTGCATCAATCAGCGGTCGGCGTGAAGAGTCTTTCTGTCGGTGAGGGTTGGGGATTCGTCAGACAACAAACAACAGTTGAGCGTTGTTGTTTTTTTCGAGTGTGGTGGTCTTGGACGCTGAAAGGCCTACCCCTTAAAAAATGAGAAAAAAACGGCGAGACGTGACACTGATAGGATATGTGGCTGAACATGTTTGTCAGACCATTGACCACGCGTCCGCTAGAGGACACAGAGCTATGTGCGCACCGGACCGAATCACCGATGGCCAATTGTTCGTGCAAAACATGAGTACGCCGTACGCCGCCCCTCCTCCTTACCCATGGTTGAAACTAACTGTTGGGGCTTCCGGCTTGGATTCCTCCCTTCCGCAAGCAGTGGCCTGGTACACCAGCTGGTTTACTTAATCGGGGCGACTATGATATCGGTTTGCTGGGCCGGAGAGAGCCTTGCGACGTTCATCAAGACTTTAAAGTTCTTGGAGCTATTCGCGTCGAACATGCTGGCCATCACCAATCTCGCCATCTGCGTCAACCTCGCCCTCATCGTCTTGGTCAGTGCTTGAACACAGCTACCTCCTTGTTCTGAAGTGGTGTTATGTTCTTTGTGTGTAGGATGGTGTCCCTTTGTAAGGTTCGGAACGACTGAGTGTGCACTATCCTACCGGTCTCACGCCAGGCGTCCAACAACCGCGTTTGGGTGCACGGAAAGTTTCGTTTCGCGCCTCTAAAGCAGTTGTTGCCTTTGCACTGCCACCAGACGCCTTGTCGACGTCCACACATTCCTTGCCCCCGCTCTCCGGCGTATCTCGTGCATGTTGCGTGTCAAGTCTCGTCGACCGCAATCTCACGTCAGAAGCATCAGCACGCATAAGCTAGTGCTCCTGTTCCTAGCCATCTCGGCGGGACTCGCCGCCATCGCCGTGCCCTTCTGGGGATTGACGGTGCTGTCCGGCACTGGGTTTTGGGAGTTGGGCGAGAACAAGGTACGGTTTCGACCAATCGACTGTATTGTATTTTATGTGTTAGCACTCACTACATATGCATGCCACAGGTGCCTTGTTTCGCTGTCTCTGGTGTGTGGTGCAGCGAACGGGATGAAGGAGCCTGTCAGGTGTGAGTGCGCGTTTGAGGGCACCACTACACGCCATCGATCTTGCTCTGAGAACGGAATTCTTGAAGAGCGAATAGACCCAGCTCGTGGATATGCTATATACAAGTCGCTCCGTTTTCTGCATCGTTGTTCCAACCCTTGTCTGCCGGCGACGGCCATGCAGCGAGATCACCAGTTCGTCATGATCTCCACCTTCATGGTCGAGTTCCTCGTCGGCATCTGCATGTTCGTCATTGTATCGTGGCTGTTGCTGTTCCGGATGACGGAGATCAAGGAGTGCTGGATGATGCACGCCTGCCTCCGCTACTACTTCGGCCTGACTCTGCTCGGAACCGTCGGAAACTTGACCCTCGGCGTGTGCGGCACGATCTACGTCATCAGCGATATGGCATGGTGAGATAGTTGAAGCAGTTGAAGAATCTTATCATAGTGCATTGCGAATCAGTAATGATTCTGGTAAACGTCATGGACGGATGCCTTGGGGATAGGTTCCCCCTTAGCAGCTCTCCCAAAAATACATAATGCACCCAACACACCCAACCTTTGTCGATGAATACAAATGATGTCCGTTGGAGACGTGTAGAATACGTTGATGAAAATTTTCAAGGCCTGTTTCGATGAAAGGAGCTATATCCTCAGGCCGTTCGTGGAAAGACAAGAGGACACGAACCAAGTGGGTGCTTTCCTTTTCCCTCCGGCGGGTATCAAGGCTTGTACACCCCGCGGCTGCTTAGTTTTTCTAGGGGTACTGTATTGTAACGCCTGCTCCACGACTCTGACCTCGTTTTGGCCTTTGAAGCGGTTGTTGGAGTTTTTGCTCGCTTCGGCAATTTTCCCCTACAGTTCCACCGATTGTACCCCGATTTTGGCGGGGGGTTATTAAAAGAAAGGCAGCCCAAAGGATTTGGGCGGCAAACACAGCTCTAGCCAGCAGCGTTCGACAAAGCCACTAAACAGCGGTTGGTTCCTTCTCAATAACAAGTTATGGACATATTGCCATCGTTGTGGGGGGAACTCCACCTTACAAAATCCCCGATTTCTCAACAGCCACGGCGAACCAACCTAAAAAAAATGCACATTATTAAAGCTCACTTCCTCGGCTAATTAAGTGAAGAGGTTTCATTCCCGGGCCGTTTTGGGCTCAACCCGAAAAAGTTCAAGCCCCGTATCCTGAAAAAAAAACGCAGTAACCCCTCAATAGCCTAGACTAAAAAAGTGGCGGTCGTGTAATTGAGATAACTCGACGTGTGCTTCACCGATTCTCGAAAAAAAACGGCGAAATGCTCGTGTACGCTTTCCGCCTATATAAGCGCCTATTTCATCAGCCTTAATGATTTGTCCTTCATGGCCGAACGGTCGAGATGGTCATGAACTCGAAACCGGCATCCGGCGCTTGTTGTGTTTTTTTCACCTTTTTTCACTTGAAAAATGTACTGATTATTTTTGTCGACCAAAATCAAAAAGTATAGTCTATAGCGGATCTTGTGGGCGATGTCAAGGGCATCATGGGAATGTTTTTTTTTCGTTGGACCCCGAAGTCAAAAGTTGTGGCCGGTCAACTGAAACCGCCGAGACAATCGGTAGAACTGTAGGCAGAGTGGCGCGTCGAGACTGCCACTGTTGAGCCCGTCTTGTAATCTGCGATGGCGAAGGCAGCACGCAGCATAGAGCAAGTCCATCGATGAAGCATCACTCCGCAGAGGAGACCAAGGCAATACTGTAGGCCGAGAGAGGGAATGGTGGAGAATGCAAGCACGTTGTGTAGGGAAATTGGCCCCAACGCCTGAATCCTTGGTGTAACGGCCGGAAACAATGCTCAATGATCAATAGAATCAAAGATTATTGTGTTGGTGCTCGAAGGTATCCGTGCACCTGCTGATGAGCCACGATCGGAGGTACCATCTTCGTTTTGAGCCGAATCGACTGCACTCGGTGTGTTGTAGTCAAGCACGGCGGTTAAATAGATCTGAAAACAAGCCGTGGAAGGCGTTAGCACAACGGCAGGCCACGCGAAGGCCCCCTGCCTCGTTTGTGCAGCAAAGGCAGCATCGCATGGCCTCTCTCACCCAACGTTATGCAGTAGCATATCTCTCCGCCTCCCCCCTCCTCCCCTCCCCGGGGGAGGCCGAGGCCCGCAAGTGCAGTTAACCCTCGAAAAAACCACCCAACAACGACGGATATACGGTCCCTAGCACCGTGTAGGAGAGGATCCTGAGTTTGGCGGTCGGGAGTTACCGCGGTCACGAGATCGAGGTAGGTCGTGATAAGCCAACTTGGAGACAGCTGCCGATGGGTTTGAACCCAAATGCCCCGGTTTGGACACCGGGGCAAGGCAGCGGTGGAGAGCACGGAGAGGGTGGCGGGATGATCGCACACCGTGTGGGTAAGCACCCAACAGGGGGACGGAAAGGGTCCAGAGCTGGAGAGCCACGCCGCTCCGGGACAGGAAGACACCTCGCTGGGAAAGGCAAGCACCGGGTTAACTCTTACATTAACCCGAGGATCCGCAGAGC